CCCACTAATGATTTATGCCATAAAACCTTAAGATAAGCATGATGGAATAAGTGGAAAACTAGTGGCAAAGTTAAACTCACCTTTTTGGCTGTATAGCCACCCCCAACAGCAGATCCTAGTATGATATATCGAAGTTTTAAGAGCCTTGCAGCTAATCTCGCTGGCCAAAAATTCCTGTGGGGCTGGTAGCCATATTTAGTTGGAGAAAGCTTCAATTTACGTAAAGGAAGGTTAGTTAGAGAGGAGAACAGCTGAAATGATGTCCTTAATTGGGGTCTTTGAAGTTTTAAGGTAGAATGATGTGAATGATAAATACTTCGTGAAACCAAATGCAGTTTTTGTAGTGGTAAACTTCCTTTTATTCCAGAGCTATGTTTCACTAAGGACTGGCAGACCTCACTGAAAGAAAAATGGGTAAGGAAGAAAGATCAGACAGGGTACTGATACAAAGAAAATGACCAATAAAAAGAAAAAAACAGCATATATCATCACCATGAGTTACTGGCAATCCATTTATCAAATATAGTTTTTTCTCATCTACTTATTGCACCTGGTGGTGCAGTGGTTAGGCGCTCAGGTGCTAACTGAAAGGTTGGCATGAATCCATCAGTTGCTCTCTGGGAGAAAGATGTGGCTGTCTGCTGCTGTAAAGATTGCAGCCTTGGAAACCTATGGGTCAGTTCTACTCTGTTCTACAGGGTCACTATGAGTCAGAATTGACTTAATGACAATGGGTTTGGTTTCTAGTTTTACAGTTAGAAAAAGGGAGGCAAAGGCTGACAATAAAAAGAAATCACTTTAGAGACTAACAGACTCTTAAGAAACCTGGTTACAAAATGTTGAGGTAACCAAGATATCCAATCAAAGGGGGCTAGCTAGGTGTATTATGGTGTATCTGTTCTGGACAACATTACACTATGCTGAAAAGGATGCTAAGGAAGGCTGTTCAAAAAATGCTGATCTAATGTATCTGCTAGTAAAAGACTAGATACTGTAGTTATACTACAACTGTATCACTTTTTAAAAGGAAACAAAAAATATTATCCACATACACATATACAATTAAAATAAAACTTTCCCTAAGGATTACAGTAGTTGTGTTAAACTGATGGACTAGCAGATAATTTCTTTCTTGTGAATTTCTTTGACATTCTACTACTTTTATCATTTTAAAATAAAACTGCTCTACACTATATATATATGAATTAAAAATCAATGCCAATATAGATATTTCTCTTCCTTAAAGAAATAACCAGGAAAAAAATATATATATTTTAATGTTGATGATACATACCAAAATCTATATAGTCATCAATCTCCCACACAATGTCAGGCACAATCCATTTGTAGTCACTAAGATCAGGTATCATATCTTTCCACTGGTCGAAAGTCTAAAAAACAAGAACATATGTCAGTCAAATGTTCTGGATGCCATAAAAAAAACAAAATGAAAAAAAAAAAAATTTAATTAAACTATGTGAATCTGTTAAAAGCAATTATGCTGAAAACTTTTTTTTTTTTTTTTAATGGAACACTTCACGAATTTGTGTGTCATCCTTGCGCAGGGCCCATGCTAATCTTCTCTGTATTGTTTCAATTTTAGTGTATGTGCTGCCGAAGCAAGCACTATGCTGAAAACTTTTAAGGGATAAATTCAATTGGTTTTAGTTTCTCTAAATATAAATTAGCAGGCAAGCCTAGAATACCTGGAAATAGTCATTTACTAAATATGGCAAATATAAAAATTCAAAATAAAATCCTATTCCAATAGTTTTCATCATTTGACTTTAAACAACACTGTGGAATAGAAGGCAGACAGACCAGGAATCAGGATGCCTTGCCTTGAGTTCTAGAACTGCTGGTAAGTGATTGTGTGAGCATGTCACCTAACTTTCTTATCCCTGCTACTACATGGATAAACTGGAAATCAAAGCACAGTGTTCTCGCTCCCAGCTCAGGGTTTGCTCTACCAGGCTGTTTTCATTTCCCATAATTATAACTAAGACTCAGAGGCATTTTTCTGAAATTAAACACAGTGAAAACAGTCTAGCAAATAGCACACACAGAGATATTTAAACATACTGTACTAAAGATTATAGTCTA